AGCAAAGAAACGCTTAGGGTAATTAATACAGGTGTCTATAGTGTAACAGCTCACATTTCAAGATGAGGCTCATGCAGAGCCTCTTCCAAGTGTCTGTGGCCTTAAAGAGATAGAATCTGAAGAGCAGACCTTGGTAGAAGCACATGTATACTCACAATTGCAGAAACATTCCCATCATTCTAAACACACACAGAGAAAAGGCATTTAATATAAATAGCAACCAAGTGGAAGACTATTCCACCCAATACTGAGTGTCTGTGAACAAGCTATGAACTTTGGGTTAGACTTTTTTCCCACTGTTAAATGAGGAGTTAGGAAGGGAAGAAAATAATAAACTATTACTTTTCTGGCACTCAGTGAATATTTATGAATGTTATTTTATCCTTGAGGGTTATTATTCAACTTTTCACTCCCTTATTTGATCTTTGTTCTCATGACTACCTTAAAGTAGATAATACCAACCCCATTCTACAGATAAGTATTATGAGGCTCAGAGGGATTTTTCTGATTAACTTTAAAATTGATACATTTATTATCATTTAATAGTTAAGGCTTGTTTCAAGAAGTAAACATTTCAAAACAAGGGCTACATGAAGAAAAAAAATAATCCGAAAGGGTAAAGAAGATTGGAAATCACTGGCCTTGCTGTTACATAGCTGCAAATCAATAACTTTTGAGTGACTCATATTTTAACTGACTGGCCAGAGGGATCTTGAGCAGTTTTTCTCAAAGACAATGTGATTATTACTTTAACTGTCCTTCTGACCTTTTAGAAATGTAACATCTGAGAATAATAACTCCAGGTTCTTTTATATTTTCATTGTCTCATTCACTCTCATAACTTCAAATACAATATACAGGTTGATGACTTCTCAATTTATATTTCCAGAGTAAATCCTGCTGTGAAATCCAGACCCAAATATCCAGCTGCCTACCTGACCATCTCTATTGTAATGTCTCAAAAGCATCTCAAGCACAGCAGATCCGGAATCGTATTTACATTCCTCCCTCAGGCACCACTTCTTTTCCAGTGATCTATATATCCAAGGATAAAAATGTCTTGTCAATCAGAATAAGCTAGAAAACTTAGTCTTCTGTCACAACATAGCCTTCAGTTTTACTGCATGGATAACCACACCCAACCAAAACCATACCCGTTGCCATAGAGTCAATTCTGACACATGGCAACCCCATGTCTAGTGGTTTTGATTTCTATAATTTCCTTTGATTTTTTTTCTTAGCGTTTACATTTCTTTGCTTACATTACCTACCTGTTCTTGTAGGTTGGTTACTTTTTCTATCAGAGTTCTTAACGTATTACTCATAGTTATTTTAAATTTCCTGTTTCATAATTTCAACAACTATGCCATATCTAAGTTGGGCTCTAACGATTGCTTTGTCTCTTCAGACTGTGATTGCTTTTTTTTTTCCTCATTTGACTAAAGGTACAGTTTTTGCCTTATCATTACTTACCGAAACCAGTCATGTTTTATCAGGCAGTAGGAACTGAAGCAATAGGTCTTTAGTGTGAGGATTTATGTTAATCTGGCAAGGACTTGGGCTATGTTTAACGTTTGTGGTGGCTATAGGTACTAAAACCAAAACTTGCCGTCAAGTTCATTTTGACCCATAGCGATCCTATAAGACAGAGTAGAACTGCCCCATAGGTTTTCCAAAGAGTAGCTGGCGGATTCAAACTGCCAGTCTTTTGGTTAGCAGTTCAATGCTTAACCACTGGGCTTCAAATTTCCCTAGTGGCTTTATTTTTGTCTCTGCTCTTGACTTTGAGCTTCACTAAGTATACCTCCTCAGAGTCTATATCTTGCAGATTTTTGGGCTATAATCACCATTATTATACTGGAGTTCTGTTGGTAAAGTGTAGAGAAGAGAGTGTTCTATAAGATTCTGATTTAATCTTAGTCTTCTAGTGGGCCTGTGTCTTGGGGCTGTGACCTACACAAGTGTTTCTCCAGTAGTATAGTGCCCCCCACCCCACCCCCGCCACTGGCCACTCCTTCCCTGACTGCACCATTCCCAATCTATTTCTTTGAAGCCCTGACCTGTGTTGTGTGGCCTATACCCCTACCTCACCCCACCCCGATCTTTGGTGAAACAGAAAAGCTGAAAGAGGCTCGAGTGGGAGGAATTCCCTTCTTCCAGCTGGAAACAGGCTCTGGAAAAGTCCTTTCCCCTGGATTGTAGGGCTTTGTTTTGAATAAGGCTCTAGGCATGTTTCCCAGTCTTCAGTGTGAGAATTAGGTGGGGGTTCTTGGAGGTAAAACCCATAAATTTACAGGAAACACCCCTCCCTGCCCAAGATTGCAGCCCCCAAGAGTTTGTCACTACCAGCACAAGTCTATATGCAGTCTCCAGTCATTTCTAAAAGTTACCATTCAAGTGTTCCTACCAGTTTATGGATCTAGCTGCTTCTGCTCCTGGTAAGCAGATTTCTCCTGTGTCCATCTGGATTCACCTGTTTCTCCAGATTTGGGGGCTGTGATTTGCCCTGAGACTTCAGTTTTCTGATGGGTCCAACAAAAAAATTGTTTATTTTCCCTTTGTCTTTTTTTGTTGTTGTTGTTGTTATTGTAAGAATAGACGTGACCAGGGTCTTTATATACCAGAGTTGAAACCAGGAGCCCCATGTTAATTTTATCTATAAAACATATCCCCTCATGTTTCCATCTGTGGTCATCTTTACCTTTTCCTAATTCCTATTATGTATTTCATTGTTGCTCAGGCTTCCAGAAAAATGTCTAGGTATAGTTTAAATGAATTTTTGGTAAGAAGATAATTTTTTTTTTCCCAAAATGTCAGTGTGATTATCTAAGTTAAATATTAGTATTCTTATGGGAGCCATTCTAGACATAGTTTGATGAAATTAACGGAAGATGAGAACTACTGATAAAGAATTTAATCAAGATTAATACCTTCATTTTAAAAGGTTGATAAGGTGGGTAAGCACATTAATGGTTTCATACATTAAATCTTTTGGTGCTAAGAATTGATGTCCTTGTCCAACCTAGGTAAAGAATGTTTATTTCTTGGCAGAAACAAGATTATTTATAAATTGAAAAATAGTGGTAATTTTTCTCATTTGACAGAAGGTACAATTTTTGCCTCAAGCCCTTATCTAGTGGCTCTTTGTGTATTGGGCTGTTTCTAAATCAGTCAAAATTTAACAGGAATGGGGAGGGATTAATTATCATAGAGCCTCCTTTTCTTTAAAAAATAGATTTGCCAGTTGAAAACACATCGCTTAGTACAAATAAAATGTCTTATAAAACATTATTCACCACACAATTCTTTTTTAAACATATATATGTAATGTTATATATACATCTTTTAAAAATTAGATATAACAAAAATATGGAACAATTACATGGGATTCTTTTTTCTTTTGTCCTTTTTGTTTACTTGTCTTTTTTGAATTGTATATAATGAACAAGTAGTACTTTCGTGAAGACAACTGTAGATATTAAAACAAAACAACCAATTTATAAAATTAGAGAACTTCAATAACATGTGGGGTTTGTTTATTAAGCCAATTCCTAATTTCTTCAGTTGAGGAAATGGAAGCAGAGAAAAACCAAACATCCCATTTTCATGAATATTTTCCTCTCCCATTTTTATCAGAATAATAACTATTTTTAAAGACCGAACTCAAATATGCATAGCTTTGGCATCTCTATTATAGCATATCTTACGTCTTCCAACAACTGTTAAGTTCTTAAAGTAGAACAACAATAATCAGGAGGAGGAAGGAGAAAGAGAGGCTGGAGCGAAGATAACAGCTTCTGCTTACCATTTGTCAGGCACTTCACTATGTACCTTACTTATGTTATTTTAAGTAATCCTCACAACACCTTCATGATGTAAGTATTGTTCCCATTTTGCAAATGAAGAAAAGGAAAATTAAATAGGTTAAGAAATTCTTTTACCAATTGGCCTTGTCACAACCAATAAAACCAAAGTCTTCACACAAGCCTATGTTTCTCCAATAATTGATGTATATGAGGTACTCAATAAATATATGTTTAATAACTGAGGTAATATAGGGAGCATTTGGTATTCATGGACCGGAGGCCAGCTGATTCACAAATAAAAACCAACTTCAACCACAAACTAGTGTTTAATATATAGATTCTGTAAGAAAATAGAGGAGCCCTGGTGGTGCAGTAGTCAAGCACTCAGCTGCTAACCAAAAGGTCAGCGGTTCAAATTCACCAGCTGCTCCTTGGAAACCCTATGGGAAAGTTCTACTCTGTCCTATAGGGTCGTGAAAATGATTGTCACTGCTGCCATCAGGCTTCCTTGCTGTCTTCTTTCAACATTTTGAAAATGTTTCTTCAAAAAAATTTTTTGAACCATTATCATTTCCTTTTTAGACACTGCCCTCTCTACCTATACACTAATCTTTTATCTCCTAGCTTAAACTTTACAGGTAAATAATAATAGTTTGAGTCCCTGAGTAGTGGAAACAGTTAACATGCTCAGCTACCAATCAAAAGGATGGAGGTTTGAGTCCATCCAGAAGTGCCTCGGAAGAAAAATCTGGCACTCTACTTCTAAAAAATCAGCCACTGAAAGCTCTATGGAGCACAGTCCTACTATGACACAAATGGGTTGCCATGATTCAGAATCAACTTGACAGCAAGTGGTTAACAATAGCTTACTTATTTAGTACTTCCATAAATATTATCATGCTGGATTATGCATTTTGAAACAAGTAGGTCAGATATTATTACACCCATTTTAAGGTGAGGAGGCTGAGTTCCAAGAAGTTCAGTGATTTTCTTATAGTTATACTATTAAACAGCAGAGCTAGGCTTCAAACTGAGTTATTGGACTTCCTATTTAGTATTTTTTCCTCTGTCTTATATGGCCTATCAATGCAAAGCCATTCTCTTTGTTAACAACCAACTATATGTTCTCCTACAGCTTGAGTTTCTACTGCATTCTTTCTATTTTCTGGATATTTTGATCCCTTAATTTTTTAGCTTCTGCGTCAGTCAGGGTCTTTAATTTCATGCAACAGAAACTAACTCTAGTTGATTTAAACAGGTAAAGAATTTGCTGAGAGGATGTTTGATTGCTCACAGAATCACAGAGAAGTAGGTTCAGAAACAGCAAAACAAGGGAGAAGGGAGGCAGCCAAGACCTCTGCCAAAACCATACCATAGAACATAGGATGCCCCGCAGAGTGGTTACCTCTGCTGCCCCTGCTGCCCCTGAAAACTGTTATATTTTTATAGCAACTGCCATTGCCCATTACTAGAGTGGTTTTCCATTGTCCTGGCTCCTTTGTGACACTGTCTCCTGTTTCAAATTCTTGTATGGGTATGTCTGATTGGCTGAGTATTTATCATGTGGTCATAATCTACCTTCAGGAAAAGTTGAGAAACCCAATATTTTTACTTTTGACCTCTGTCATGGGAGGTGGTAGGGTCCCTGCGTGGCACAAATAGTTTGCACTCAACTACTAGCCTAAAGGTTGGCGGTTAGAACCCACCCCATAGTGCCATGGAAGAGAGGTCCAGTGATCTGTAAAGATTACAGCTAATCAGGCCCTATGGAACAGTTCTACTCTGTAACACATGGGGTCATCATGAATAGGAATCAACTCAATGGCAAGGGTTTTTTTTTATTTTATCATAAGAGGTGAGCTCTGCCTCCCAAAACTCATTATGCACACACTTCACTAAATATAACTCGAGGGTTAAAATAATTGAATTTTCCCCAGCAAAAGAAATGACCAAATTCCAGTATTGACTCCAATTTAGTTTTGTGTTTTCTTTGTCTGTGTTGAGTTTTTGGGGACAACAAACATATTTAATTTACAACCATGACTCAACAATTGTCACTCAACCAATAATTACTCTCATTCTGCAGAATTCTGTAGAATCTAAACTTGTCAGGTAAGTTTCACTCATCTCTCCAATTCCTTTTTCAAAGTTGTCCTATAATATTTCTTTCAAATGAGTGAGCTTCTTCAGGGTCTGACAGCATGAGTTAGTGCTGTACACAATATTTTCGAAGTGTGAAGAATTTATTTATCATCTTCCCATGTCTCCAGGATTTTAAGATATGCCTTGTTATTTAAAATCAAAAATTTCAAGTATTTCTTTTATAAACAATTTATTTCTGGATCTGAGTAACCCTTTCCTCTGCAGTATTTTTGAACAGTGGCTCCGAAGATACCGTCCTCTTCAAGAAGTTTATCCAGAAGCCAATGCACCCATTGGACATAACCGGGAATCCTACATGGTTCCTTTTATACCTCTCTACAGAAATGGTGATTTCTTTATTTCATCTAGAGAGCTGGGCTATGACTATAGCTACCTACAAGATTCAGGTACAGTTCAATTTCTTTCAGATAAATTGCTGAATCTAGTGTGACAAATTTCTTGTAAGAGTACGAAGTCTTATGTTTCTACAATGTTATCCCCAAACCCTTTAAATCTGAATTGGTATTTCACTAGCCTCCCTATTCCAAGTTTCAAATGTTACCTGGTATGGGATAAAACCAGTGAATCAATCTGAGTGCAAGGAAGGTGCATTAAAAAAGGCAGTATACCTTAACTAATATAGATGAAGCCTGATAGAGAAATGCCATTCCTCTTAATAACTAGTTCATTTTTAGGTATGAATTTAAAAACATTTTTCAAGTCTACTACCATGCTAGTTGTTTTTCTAGGCAATTTTCTTCATTTATTTATTCTTTCTACATACATTTGTTGAATGACTACTTTGAACAAGGCATTGTGTTAGATACTATGGACACAGTGGTAATTGGCGTAATCTCTGTCTTCATAGAGCTTACATCCTAATGGAAGAAAGAATCCTTAAACAGCTACTTACCTAATTACTCATTTATTTATAGATGTGCCTACCTTTAAGAGTCAATGAGGTAACATTTTCAGAGGAGATCAATATGACAGGCAGCATTAACGAGTTGAAAAGGAGAGATACCAGTTAACCAGTTGCCAGTGAGTTGGCTCTGACTCATGTCGTCCCTGTGTGTGTCAGAGTAGAATTGTGCTCCATAGAGTTTTCAGTGGCTGATTTTTCAGAAGTAGATCACCTGACCTTTCTTCTGAGGAGCCTCTAGGTGGACTCGAACCTCCAATCTTTCAGTTAGTAGCCGAGCATATTAAGAGTGCATATTTCAGAAGAAATAGCAGGTGCCAATTTGGCAAGAAGAATGAGAGGCTGAGGCTAAACCCTACAAAGGCTTGATTATGGATTTTGTTCATATTGTTAGAACAATGGAAGCCAATGATGAGGTTTAAGCAGATAGATCATGGCCAAATTTGAGTTTCAAATTTGCTGTAGTGTGCAGAAAGTTTTGTAGGAGTTGCAAAGCAGATGCAGGAAGGTCAGTGAAAACACTATTGCAAGAGTTGAGGAAAGAGGTGAATGCAGTTTGGATTGCAGTGGTGGTGGCAGTAAGTGACATAGAGAAGCATGAAAAATTTTATAATATTTTGAAGATAAAATTTACAAAATTTGGCAAATGACGTGTGTATTGATGAGGAAGAAGGGGACATTAGGGATTATCTTTAAGCTGTCTTGCCTGTGCAACTGGTGAATGGTAGTTCCATTCACTGACATAGGGGCAATAGGAGCAGGGATAGACATGGAAGGATGATTATGGTTCTATATGTAATATGCTGAGATTGGGTGATGGGAAACACCACGATGCAGATGTCCCTGGGGCAGCTGAGTATACAGGTCTGAAGCTCAGAGAAGAGCTCCAGCCTGGAGATAATAATGCTAAAGACATCAGCATATAAATTGTTATCTTAATCTTCACACAACCCTATGAGGTAGTGATTTTTATTCTATTTTACATGTTAAGTAAACTGAGAGTCAGAAAGATTAAGTGACTAATTCTAAATCACAAAGGTAGTAAGTGGCAAATATAGAATCCAAAACTAATTATCTCTCTACTACTTCACAGAAGAGAGAGTTCCCTTTAGTCCTTGTATTCTTTCTGCAAATATACTCCATCTCATTGTTCCTGCTCTAGCAACAAAATGGGTGTATTTTACTAAAAAGATGACAAAAACCATTACGTGAGAGGGAGAGAAGGTCTGAAGGTACTTATCTCTAATTCAATTAAAAGAAATGAAATTTATTTGAAATGTTTAATCTATCTACAGTAATTTTTATACAGCTGTGAATTTACAAAGTTAAATTTAGAGAGGTACGACTTCCAAATAAGCCACAACAAATATCTGTTTTCTATTCTCTGAATTATTCTCTTTTTGCTTCTGTTTTACTTTCAGGGAGTTTAAAATTTGTTTGTATTACTTGCTAAACTTTTAGCTTACTAAAAAAAACTGCTTTAAATTTTCTTCATGTAATTTAGTTCAAGTGGTTCATTATTCATCATTTAGTCATTCAAGTTTATAATTACTTAAGTGTTTTCTGTAAAAAAAAGCTTCTGATGTCTGACATTTGTCAAACATTTTCTCCTATAATCAAATCAAGTGATGTTTTGAAAAATTGAGTAGGTTATTTTGTTGGAGCATAACTGATGAAAAAGTGTGCCCAAAAAGCTTTGACAAAGAGGATCTGTGTCTTCCTGCTTTCTGTGTGGTACTTTCTCTGTTGAGAGCTTCCTTCTATTACAAAAGACCTGGAAATTTGAATTAAAAAATGAGAGGGGAGACCATGTGCACAGTTACTAGAGTGTTTCATTCTGCAGATGGGATTTGATGAGTGTTCTGTTATTTATGGATTTGTTCAGTAGCTGTCCTGGCTATGTGTACATGTGTGCACGCAGTTCCTTCTGCCCAGGATGGCTTGCCATCAGCGTCACACCCCTGAAGTTCTAACTCATTCTTTTATTCAGTGCGATAATCATCTTCTGGGATGCCTTCCCTGAGCCCCTTGGCAGACTTTCCCCGTGATCCCATTGTATCTTTTACATATTTTTATTAGAACAACATTACTATTGAAATAATTTGTTTGTCAGTCTACCTTCTCTTCCAGTTACCATTTCTCTCAGGGCAGGGACTTTGTCTTATTTATCTTTTCATCCTTGGTGCTTAGACCACTGGCTGGCCTGTTGTGTATCTCAGTTAATATATATATTTTTTAATCAATGAACGCATAAATAGAACAAAAGATTAAACAAATGATAAAATACCTACTCTCAAGCCCTTGTGATTGAGTCATAAAAATAAAACATGCATACAAATCATTATGGAATCCCTGGGTGATGCAAGCGGTTAAGCACTCAGATGCTAACTAAAAGATTGGAGGTTCAAAATCTACCCAGAGATGTCTCAGAAGAAAGGCTTGATGATCTACTTCCAAAAAATCAGCCACTGAAAACTCTATGCAGCATAATTCTACTGGTACATATGAGGTCACCATGAGTTGGAATCAACTCAACAGCAACTGGTAATAAGTAATTATAATACATGGGCAAATGTGCCAGTGTCACAGGAAGCAAAGAAACAAAATTATCTGAGAATCCAGAAGAGGGAGCTGAGCCAATGATCAAAGCATGTTGGAGAAAGAAACTTTTTTGTTGAAAGCTAGTTGAGAGATCAATGAAATAATTAGCGGAATAACAAGAATTAATAACATTTATAAGTTGCTTACTATGTGCTAGGCATTCTACCAAGACAATACATACATTACCTAGTTTAATCACTATTGGCAAAGCTTTTAAGTGGCAAATACCTAATTTATTAAATTGGGGCAATGATCCCTAACTACCTCATGTATCTACTGTGTGGATAATAAGGCATGTGAATGCACTTTGGAAATGCCAAAGCAAAAACAAATAGAAGATTATACGAATATTTCCTAGAGAGTGGGCGACAAGGGAAATGACACTTTATGTAGATGCAGATGATAGGAAAAAATGATGACATTAAGAATAAAAAGGTGCGTTTTGGTGTTCAAAAGCAGACAGTTGAGAAAAAAGTGTTTGAATTTTAGTATGAAGGCATTGAGAAATACAAAGAAGGTTTCAAAGAAAACAATCCCTTGGTAAAAGTAAAAATTGAGACCATTTGGAATGGGTTGCTCAAACGGTTAAGCCTGCAGCTACTAACTGAAAGACTGGTGGTTCAAACCCACCTAGAAGTGCCTCCAAAGAATGGTCTGGTGATCTGGTTCCAGAAGGTCACAGCCATGAAAACCTTATGAAGCACTGTTCTGCTCTGCACATCTGGTCACCATGAGTTGCAATTGACTTGACAGCAACTGTTTTTTTTTTGGTTAAATGAACTGAAGCAGAGAAATAATGATAGACTGGAGAACAGAAAGAGATGTAGAAATAGTATTGAAAAATTGTGAAAGCACTTGAGCCTGAGCTAGGCCTAAAACTATAGAGGAAATAATATTTACTAAGCAATCTGTATGTGGCCTGCACTCTGCTAGGCACTGTAAATGTATTACATATTGAAGCTGACTAACAGCTATGCATTTGTAGTCCCATTTTCAAAATAATTTTAAAATCTACTACAAAAACAACTTTCGTATATGATGAAAATGATTTTTCACATTCTTTTGATTTCCTTTTTATTTTAGCTTTGTTATATTTTATTTTTTGGATTTAAATTTAATGTTATTCAAAGCTACAGACCTTTTTCATTATATTTTAAAATGTTAATCCATTGAGAATTATTGTCCCTTCTTGATTAAGGGAAACATTGTATTGCAGTATTTTTCCAATTATGCTTAATAGAGTCTAAGAGTTTTAGAGATGTTTTAGTGATGACTGGCAAAAAAATGGTGCCAGGGACGGGAGAGGAAACAATAGCAGAAAAAATGGACAAGCCCTACTGCTCCTGCTTAAGCCAGGGAGGCTTCACTTTTATCTTCTTTGAATATTTGGCTTTGATATAAAATTAGTTTTTAATACATTCTCCTGATTAAAAATAATTGAAGAATTTTGCTTTTATTCTTCTGAATAATGGTGAATGGTGCAACTCTTTTAAATTTTACTTACAGTTGCTACCCATTCTTCCCATGATAGATAGTTTGTTGTGGTTGCTAAACGCCATCCAGTCAGTTCAGACTCATAGTGACTCTATGCACAACAGAACCAAACACTGCTGGGTCTTGCGCCATCCTCACAATCATTGCTATGCTTGAGCCCATTGTTGCAGCCACTTTGTCAATCGTCTTGTTGAGGGTCTTCCTCTCTTTCACTGACCCTCTGCCTTAACAAGCATGATGTCCTTCTCCAGGGACTGGTCTCTCCTGATAACATGTGCAAATTACCTGAGACAAAGTCTCACCATCCTCACTTCTAAGGAGTATTCTGGCTGTACTTCTTCCAAGACAGATTTGTTTGTTCTTCTGGCAGTCCATGGTATATTCAATATG